GATGTTATAAAGCCTCCTTTTGCTAGAGGGAGTCCCCGAGTCTGCCCTCTCCACCTGCCCACACCTCTATTTCCAAATACGTGCCTCCTCTTCAAGGGACAGCCAGAATGCAGTCACCGACACAGTGGATGACCTCATCCTTCAGGTAACACAGGGGCTGTGGTCCCTCAAAGGCCCCCAGGTGTAGCCAGCATAAAAGGTACACTCAGGTTCTAGGAGGTATTTCAGGTGAATGGAGAAATGAGGGTCCTTATCTACTTCCAGTGTGTGGGACACAGAGCTGGAGCAGCTGTGCTGATACCACAGGACCACTCAGGCCGGGTCCCCTCACAGCAGGCAGCAGCCCCTTTCATCCTGTCTGACTTAGCGGTTTATTTTAGGCATGGCCTGACCAGGTGCTCTGGGTCAATAGGCTTAGTTTTAAGTAACTGGATTCCTCTCAATGACTGTCTCCTTTAGAAGGGAAGGGGCATGACAGAAGAATGAGCCCAGCAGGCTGGGGGTGGGGAGGGAAGGGAGTGAAGCCAGGAGACTGGAGACGTGTGGGCTCTGTCACTCCCACTGTGACCTTAGGCAGGCTATAGGTTCCCACTCTGGGCCTCGGTTTCCTCATGCATAAAGCAGAGGGCTGGGCTGGGTCATCTCAAGTGCCCCCTGCAGTCTGCCCCCTGTGTCTCTGTTGTATGCCTGTGTTTACAGATGACCAAACACCTAGATGCTGAGCCACTAAAGGAGACAGCAGAGCATGCAGCAAACAGTTCTGCTCCAGAGTCGGGAGCCCTGGGTTCTAGTCTTGCTTGAACAAGCTAAGCCTCAATTTTCTTACCTGTTTAAATAGGGGCTGATAAAGCATCAAAGGATGATTGTGAGGATTGCATGGAGCAATTGCTCAGGTGAGGGCACTTTATTATTATTTTTTATTTTTTGGCAACTGGCCAGTACCGGGAACTGAACCTTGACCTTGGTGTGACAAGGCTGTCCTCTAACCAACTAAGCCAACCGGCCAGTCACAGGGAAGGCCCTTTAAACTCTTAAAGCACTACGTAAAAAAAGAAAATGTGACCAGCAGTTCCTCAAAAAGTTAAACATGAAGTCACCATATGAACCAGCAATTCCACCTCTGGGTGCACACGTAGAAGAATTGAAAACAGGAACGTGGAGAAATATTTGTACACCCATGTTCATAGCAACATTATTCACAATAGCCAAAAGGTGGAAGCAACCCAAATGTTTATTGAAGGATGAGTGGGTAAACAAATGTGGTATATACATACAATAGAATATTATTCAACCATAAAAAGGAATGAGATTTTGACACATGCTATGACATGGATGAACTCTGAAAACATCATGCTAAGTGAAATAAACCAGACACAAAAGGACGAATGCTGTATGATTCCACTTACATGATTTACCTAGAACAGGCAAATGCACAGAGACAAGATAGAATGGTGGTTACCAGGAACTGGGGGAAGAGGAGAATCGGGAGTTCTTGTTAAATGGGTGCAAAGTTTCTGTTTGGGATGATGAAAAAGTTCTGGAAATGGTAAGTGGTGATGGTTGCACAGCATTGCGAATGTACTAAATGCCGCTGAATAGTACACATAAAAATGGTAAAAATGGTAAATTTTATGTTATGTATATTTTCACATGGTAAAAAAAGTAAATGCACACTTAAAATTTCTAGGGATATCTTGGCAAAACCTGGGAATGAGTCATCTTACTTCTCCTGCCTGAACTTAGGCAAGACATTTTGGGAAATTAAATTTTCTTCCTCTATCAAATGGAGCTAAACAGCAGCCTCTCAACCTCCCTCCATCATTCATACTCCACACCTCAAAGAACTGGGTCAAAAGTGTGCCCAGGTAAAGCCAAGTAGCCAGGGCACATCAAAGGTGACCTCCATGACCCCACACAAAGGGAGGTCCAAACTACCACAAACCTCTTCTCTGGATCCTATGCGCCTCCTTATTTTGGAATTAAGGGAAAAGGAGGGCTTCCCAACTGTATCAACCTTTTCACAGCAGACTTGACTCAGCCTAACCTGGTGCCCGGCACCCAGCAGGTGCTCAACATTCATTTTGTAACTGAGAAGATGCCCTCCCTCCACTGCTATTCAATACCAACTTTGCATAAATTAGCATAAGGAATAAGTCAATTTCTGCTGGGGGAGAAAGCTCTGGGGGGTGCGTAGGTGAAGATAAAGGAGGAAGATACACAGGTAGAGCAAATCGGTTTTTGCACATAATTGTTTAAATAGTCACAATGTGCCAAGTGCCGAGGAAAATTCGTACAGGATGCCGGGGTGGCCGGACTTGGCCCGGGCTCTCCAGGAGGCCGGCGTGCAGAAGTAGCTAGGGGTTGGAAGCCTGTAGCTCTGGAGTGGGGAGTAACACCGGGCGGTACGGAAAGACCGTAGTCAGGGCTTTACCCAGAGCATCTATGCCCCCCCATCCGAGCGGGTAAACCAAGTCCGAAAGAGGCAGGAATCACTGGCCCCAAGTAAGTGGGCCAGGAGGAACGGGGCGTCCTTGCCCCGAGCATGGCAAGCTCGTGGCACACGTATGATACACGCCTGTGTACGACCACAGGCTCCGAACCGGTGGGTGACAGGGACCCTTGGCCTCTCAGATAGCGGAGCCCGGTCAGGGCCGTCTGGTCCGGGTCCCTCCTCCGTCCCTGGGCTTGTGGGGCTGGGGTCGTCTGGACTCGGGGCTCGCGCCGCGCACACCACCCGGGGTGTCGCGGGGGGGCGGGGAGAGCGGCCGCCTGGCCCAGCCCCGCGGATGACAGGAGCCGGGGAGCCGAGGAGGGAGGAGCCGCCGCCGCCGAGCGCTGGGCTGAGGAGCAGAGAGAGCGGGGCGCGGAGTGCGGGCGGCTGGGAGCGCGCTGAGCGGGGGAGAGGCGCAGCCGCACGGCCGGCCACAGGACCACCTCCCCGGAGAATAGGGCCTCTTTATGGCATGTGGCTGGTAACTTTCCTCCTGCTCCTGGACTCTTTACACAAAGGTGAGACCCGCGCGGGCGGCTGGGCGATGGAGGCGGCGGGTCCGGGGTGCGCGCGGCTGGCAGCCAGGCTGGGTGCCTGGAAGGCTCCAGGTGCCGGGAGGACGGACCCCGGTGCGTGGCCCCAGGTGGGTGCGGCGGGGGGGGGCAAGCACCCGGAGAGGGGCCGGGTGAGGGTCAGCTCGGAACCGCTCTGCCAGCCACCCGCGCCAGCCGTTTTGGGGCGCTCCCGTTTCGGTGGTGGAGAAGGACCCCTCATCTCCCCGCTCCCCGCCTGGCCGCAGTTCTGTCCTGGACCCCTCCCCCAGCCCCTTGCCCGCTTCCTGCGGCTTGATGGCGCTGGGACCCCGGGGTGCCCTTTGAGTCGAGGGGTCCTCAGGCCGTGACTCTTCACCTAGAAGTCCGCTTATTCGGGCCTCGGACCCGGAGGCTTACTCCTCCTTCGCGACCGTGCGCCCCTAGACCGCCCCGGCCCCCCGCCCTGGCGCGAATGCGGGCGCACCGCATGGCGCTTATCCGCGCGTTGGCTGGATACAGGGCGGGGATAGCTGGGGTCCCTAGAGCTGGAGTCCCTCGGATAGCAAGTTTGTTCTCCAGACCCAGAGGTCGCCCTCCCCAAGCTTCACCCCATCCCCCTGCCCCGGGCGCTAGCCCCGGCTTCGTTATGCCCCCGTGGCCACCTCCGGCAGCGCGCCCCAAGGTGCGAGATTGCCCGCTTCGGCACCTGGCCAGCCTACCTGGGGACAAGTCTTCGGGCTGGGGGGCGTGTCCCTGTCCCCAGAGAGAAGGGGTTGCTAGGGGTGGGTCCAGGTGTCCGGCATGTCCAGACCTGCGGCTGGGGCGCTACGCACCTGATCCTCGTAGTAGCCAGGACTGGGAGATTAGGAGTGGGTAGATATTTCCGACCGAAGCCACCTGGGCACCGAGGCGGGACCAGGCTGGTGCTGGCGGTCGGGCTTCCAGGCTATGGCAGAGGACGTGCCCCTGGGCGCACAGATGGCGGGAGATGAGGCGGCCGAACTCCGCGCCCTTGCGCGGCGGAACACACACGCTCCAACAAGCTCGGCTTTACCTGTTCAGCCCTCTAACTTTTCTCCTTCGCGCCCTGGGGGCGAGTTCTCCCCGCCTTTCCCTCTGGCGGAGTGGCATCTCTTGACCCCTAGGCAATGGGGAAGGGCAATCCAGCAGAGGGTTGGCTCCGGGAGGGGGGTCTAGTCCTTCCGGACCGAAGCCCCAGGGGTCTGGAGTCTGCAACCTGCCCAGAGCTCACTGCCATATATCCTGGGTAGGGGGGGATGTGAATAACCCTTATTTGTAGATACCGCCGGGTCAAAGACAGCCTGAAGGCCAAGATACTGCTGGGGTTTGCTGGGAGATCGGGGTGTGGGGCAAGGGGTGGCCTCTGAATCGTGGACAAAGTAGTTGAGTTTCTCAGACCCAAGGAGGTCCACTGGGTTACACACCACGGTTAATCTGGGTTGTTTAACCCCTTGCCCCCCGCATCGCACCCCTTCATCCCATCTTAGCAGAGCAAGAAGCAGCCTGCCTCCTGTTCAGCCCCCGCGCCCCCCACCCCCCAGGCTCTTCCTGCCTCCCTCCGCCCCCACAGGCTGGCTCGACTCGCAGCTTTAATTACATTAATATTAAAAATACATAAGGTGAGGAGCGGCTTTCTCTTTCGATAGCTCTCTCTCCACCCCTCACCCCCTTTCCCATTTTGTCGGGCGAGAAAGCACAGGCCAGAGCTGCTACCACACTCTTACCCTGCTTTGTCCTCAACCCCTCCCCCCCCCCTTCCTCAGGAGACCTCTTCCAGAACAGCCCAGAGTAGAGGTCCCTTAGCAAATACCTGAAGGACGGTCCCCTCCCCCTTCCAGGAGCCCGGCATTAATAAATGAAGTGCAAGCTATTTGATAGGGAGGGAGCAGATGGGGGTGGGGGTGGAGAAAAGCCCAGAAGGCAACAGGGCACCCGGAGGGGCAAAATCCTTTCCAACTTGGGAAGGAAGTTGCCACTGGCCTTGGACCTGTGGGTAGGCTGAAGGTGCCAGGTGTGGCAGCCCCTCGGTGGCCTTTGGGTCTACAGATCCCTGGCGCCCCTGGGATTTGGAGGCTCTGGTGTCTGTGCTGGGTACCAGGGCACCTTGCCAGACAGGCCTTTCTTTTCCTCGGTGCCTTAATTGGGACCGAGGTGCCAGGCTGTTCCCTGGGGCCTGTTCTGCTTGGGATGGTGTGGTAAGGGGTTGGCGGAGGAGGCTCGGGAAAGATGTGATGCAGGGAGGGCAGGAAAGATGGGGTTTGGTGTATTTTCTCTCCCGTTGCCAGTCACCCCCGCGGCACCAAGGAAAATGTAAATGTGAATGTTCAAGCCTGTTACAGAAAACAATATCCTCTTGCAATAATTTGTACGTCCATCTGTGAGGAGCGGGAGGAGGCAGGGAGAGAGAGAAGAAAACAGGATGAGATGGAGCGTCCTCTGGATGGAATTAAGCAGTTATTGAATGTGTTTTAAGCTTCTGTTATTTCCATTCCTCTCAAAATACCTTTTTTTGATGAAGCCTGAGCTCAGACCGATTCCCCAGAACTAAACTGGGAAGGTGTTTTAATAATCGGTTATCGAGCCTCCAATAACTGCCTTATTACTGTGAAAACAAATCCAGGTTCGGGCAGCCGGCTGAAGCCCAGCGAGGCTCTCTCCGTTGTTACATCCAGCGTGCCAGCATCTGTGCTGCCTGCATTTGCATTTTTACTGTGTAAAAGAACAAGCTTCCCCGGCACTAAAATTCCTGTTTTCTAAAAGCCAAAATAATGGGTTGCATTGATTTTTTCATTTCCCACCCCAACCTCTCGGATGGGGACTTACGGTTCTTCTCTCTTGAGGAGACCAAATTAAAAGCCTTCATCAGGCCATTAAGAAAATCTCTACCACTCAGTTCAGTGTCTAATTAAAAGGGGGCAGGGGGTTCTGGGGGAGTGTGTTTTTAAAATGTTGAAATGGCAAACACAACTTAGGGGAGGCCGGCGGAGGGCCAGCGAGCGTCGGGGAGGGGTGGGAGGGCAGAGGCCCTGGTTGCTGGAATAATATGATGGAGACTGGAATTGCCATAATGCCTGACAAACCTTTCTGATGCTTCGTTTTTCTGGGCATCAAAGCCAGCTGCCTTTAATATATATCTGCAGCAGAACCGGGGCTGAATTAGAAACAAGAAGCAAGTAAGCAGTTGACCCAAGGCAGTGCTTAAGTTGAGCAGATCCCAGGGGACTGGCCAGAGAGGCTTAGTTTTCTTAGGTCGTGGGCAGACAAATGGAGGGTTTGGCCCAGTGATGTCTTGCTGAAGAAGTAGGTCTCCAAACACACAGGCTGGGAGATCCCAGAAACAGGGTGGGGGGCTGCTCGGAGCACCTCATGGGCTGTTAGCCTTAGAGGGGTGCAGACCTCATGCCCCCTTATCTTCTCAGTATCTTTAGGAATTCCGTCCTTGTGACTTGCTTGGTCCCCTCCTCTGGCTGGTGAAGGATAATTTTATTTGTGGATGAGGAGAGGGGAGAGTGGATGTTCAGAGAGGATATTTTGTGGGGGGAGGGTTGGGGTTGGTATACAAGTCCCAGGCTGGGAGATTCTTTCCTCTCACATGGTGTTGGAGGAGATGCTTCTTGGGGACATTTGAAGTAGTCAAAAGGAAGAGCCCCCACTTCTAGAAGTGCTTTCTCGGCCCCTATCCCAGTAAGTTCTATTGGGTACTCAGGTGCCTGAATAGGGTGAGCTACAGGCAGCAGAGATGGCAGGGTGCCAGGAACCGAAGGGCAGGCCCCAGATTTGCATATAATTTGCATGCTCACCTAGCCAGGCCAAGAGCCTCACCTCCATAGCAGCCAGGCAGCATCTTTCTCCCTGCATGGAATGCAGGTGGAGAAGGAGCCAGAGAAGGACTGGTGTTTGGTAGTGCTGCCATCTCACATCTGAGAATTAGGCCTATAGGTGCTCGGTACTGAGTTTGCCACCTGGCAGGGCAGCCCCGGAGCTCCCACCTCTCTTACTCAGAGACAGACGGTGCTACTGGCGCTACTGGGGTAGGACGGGTGGCAGAGGGCAGAGGCAACCTAAGGCAGACCAAATGTGGGGTATAGGTTGTTCCTCCTGTTGCAGGAAGAAGAGGGTGAAGAGAGGGGCAAACCAGCTATAGCAATCCAAGGCCAACATTAGCCTTCTGGTGAGTGCACCCCCCAGAATGGAGGGAGCTGGCTGCTTAGGGATACGGTCCATAGGTGAAGAGACAGCGGCTGGAAGGATGGGGGTATGAAGTGAGGTGGAATGTTTCTGTACCCTCCCGGTTTGTCAGCATCCAGCTTGGGAGGGCAACCCTGGCCTCTGAGAGATTAAAGGAAGAGCCCTAATTTCTTATCCCACTATTGTTAGGGCAGCTTTGGTCATGTGAGGTGGTTCCAGTGGGGGCACTGGGAAGATAGGCTCTGAAGTCATGGAGGGAAGGGAGCGTAAAGAATTTGGATTGATGCTTGAAGGGCAGGCACTGCAGGAGAGCTGAGGGCTCCCTCCCAGGGAGCTGGGATGCTTGCAGTGGGAGTGCGGCCTTGGGAATGGTTCTGTCTGCATTTCCAGGACCCTGAGTGAATCCCACCCTGGTGGGTGCAGCTCTAAAACCTTCCAGAGTATTTTTCTGCACATCTACTGATCCAGGAGAGCTCTGGTCTGCCAGAGCCCACGGAGGTTTCTAAAGGATGTTGCATGGAGCTCAAGGATTAGGTGGAGCCTCAGATGATGGATGGAGGTAGAGAGTAGGAGGGGGGAACTTCAAGCTCCCCCCACCCTCCATTCTTTCAACCAGAGCTTTTACCCATTTTATATATTCAAGTGTAAAGAAAAATAAAGGAGATTGAAACTCACTGGTGGTGGAAATTTGGAGTCAAGGCAAAGCCTTCATTGACACCCTGGCTGTGCACTTACTGGCCATATGACTCTTGGCCTTTCTGAGCTAAGAAATGGGA